ACACACAGGCAACCTCTCGTCAATATGCATTTTTCGCATTGCATTGCTGCAAAAAACGCATAAAAACTTTCCCTCGAAGTAATTTGCACAAATACAAGCGTGGTGTTTAAAAGTAGCTGAAATGTGTATGGAGGAGCCAGGCCGAGATTTTTTTCAGCTTCCATTCGTTAATTTGAGGGTGGATGAAGGTGGAGGGCCCAAAGGATTTTCAACAGGAGTAAGTGAATTATGCTAGAACTCTGGAACAATGTAAGCATTTCGGGACACTCATGGGAAAGCCAAAGCGAAATGGTAGGCCTCAAAGTAAGAATGGAGCTTTTTAAACCATGCTTCATCCACAAATTGTTTAGGATGCTTGCATTTGTTCGAGACAGATTCGATCTTTGATGCACGGCTTTACATGTGCAACCATAAATCACTAAGTTTAAATCATGCTAACGAAAGTAATTCATCAACCCATTTCAAATGCGTAAATGGGCACACCATATATTTACAGTTTTAATGCATTTTTGCCTATGTGCAAACTCAAAGACGTATACTGGCAAGAGGCGATCTGTGTGTGCTTCTGTGTGCTTGTGTGTTCGCACCTTTTGTCACCCGCTTTCGACTCGAGAACCAGAAAAGCTAAAAGGCTGAAACTTTGGAAATATGTGCCTACACCATACGTGACCCTTCCGTTTTAATATCATTGCCCGTGCCAGGCTGGGTGCCACTTAAAAAAAGCAAGCAAATTTTTTGGCGGGAAAGCGATTTCGAAAGCCAGAAAGGATAAAGACCTAAAGCTCTGCAGGAATATTTTCTGTGCATGTGCGAGCAAAAAATTTCAAATTCAGCCCCAAGGTTTGCGTAGCTTTCATATACGGGCGTGTGAAATTTTTACGCGAAAAGTGCCCACTAAACAGCTAGGTCATTTTTAAAGAACGACCAGGCGCTAGTAAACGCACAAGACAAATTGTAAAGCAACAACCACTCGTACAGTTAACGACCTGATTACTTTAGGTCTCGTGTAAAAAAGTACGATCACACCGGTAAATCTGGTGCATTCCAGCCCTGGTCTTCACTAATGATTATTTGCAAGATGTGTTTGCTTGCACACGTTTCGCACAGTTGTAAACGGCGCTCCATTCGCAATAAATGAGGATTAGGAGGAAATCGAATCTTTCATTCTCACTGTCTCCAGACTGTTCAAATCGTGATTAGTTATCCATAATGTCATGTCCCATAGTCAAAAACTTTCTTCCTGATTCCGTCCAGAAAACAGACACCTGATAGCGTTATTTAGATATGTAAGTTGCAACCACTGCTTAAAATTCTTATCCAATTATTTTAATCCCAAAAGTTGCGATTCGTCCTGACTGCATGCTATTTGTCTTCAGTTGTAGG